AAGCTGGCGCTGCCAGGGGCAGAGACACCCCGACCACACAAGCTGCAGGGCGGCTAGCACTGCAGCGAAGACCCAAGATGAGCAAGCACGGGTTGTGGAGGAGCTGGATTAGCTATCAACCCTGAACGCTGGAGGTCCCCAAGCCTCTTAGGAGAACGGCCACGGAAGGCTGGGACCCAACGGAGGTACCAGACACAGACCTGGAAGGTGAGGAAGGGCAATGTCCAGCTTGGTGAGGACGAGAAGCAGAGACTGCACCATTTTGTACTGCGCAGGCGGGCAGGAGCTCAGGGAGGGCAAACAGGCGTTGCCTGAACCTCCAATGCAGAAATGGGTGCAAAACCAGAGGCTACCAGCAGAAAGGGACAAAGTCCGAGGCTGAGAGCCAGACAGAAACTGCAGACCCAGGCACCAAATCAGCAAGCAAACAGAGTTACCAAGGAGTAAGCATAAAAGGGAACATGTCTACAGTACAGAGCTTATTGGTGCCTGGACTGCGAAGCCTCGCTCTTATGGCGCTTGGCAGATCCGTCCCTCAAGCAGTGAGGGCAATAGTGATCAGAGTGCCCGTGTTCCCCAGACAAACGGGGCGCAGACACAGATGCAGACACTTGACGGGGCTCCGGAACCTCTTGTGGGCAAAATCAGCAAAGGACAGAACAAACAGCTCTGCTGCTGGATGGTGGGAAGCAGGATGTCGCCCAGGTCAGCATCACCAGTACCAGATCGTTTCTGTCCCCGCGGCTGATCAGAAGTGTCAGCGCCAGACGCTCCGCCTGCTTGTTAGTTAGATTAGGAGGCGCGTCAGCAGCAGGCAGAGGACCAGCGTTGGCAGAGCAGGTAGCCGAGGGGTCAGTGGCAGCCGGCTTGATCCCCTTGTCCTGCTCGCCCTTTTCATCTGACTTCTCCTTCACTAGCTTGGCATCCGCAGCGGCTGCATTTGCATCAGCTGCAAAAGTACCAGAAGCACCTGGCGCGTCAGCCGCAGACACCTTGGCCGCCGACAGTGGCTCAGGAGCTGGAGCAGAAGGCTGATTGCGGGCCCTCTCAGCTTCCAGAAGTCGCTCTCCCGCCACAGAGAGGGATTCCTCTTGAACAGTAGAGGAAACCAGACGGCACACGCTGCAAGTCTGCAGCAACCTCTTTGACTGCTTGGTCCATGGTCGCCAGGGCACGCAGTGACATGGCTACAGCAGTCAGTGGGTTGGCTACAGCAAGCGACGCTGCAGAGGACATGCACAAACGTAGCTTGCGCACAATCGAAGCGGTCAGCGAGACCAACTCGAGACCTGGGCAAAGAGCTGTCAGACAGTCAGCGTGACGGTCTGAGGCCCAGGCAAGGGGCTGGGAGCTTCAGCAGCCGTCCTGGACCTGGGCACAGCCGAAAAGCCACAGACCAGTAAGTATGAAGAGCTGAGCCTCGCGCGAAGCAAGGCCAGTCAGTGAGGACGCGGGTGACCTAACAGAAAAGTCAGGACCACAGAAGAACTGAGCAGACTGAGCACCCAACTCGTAGAGAGGGGCAGGAGCCTGCCAGTCAGAGAGCAGACAAGGTGACCAGTCAGGAAAAACCTTGCCTCCAAGTCTACCACCTCGAGAAGGTCTGGCCTGCGCGGCAGACACAGACCCGGAGGCAGAGAGACACAGAGGAAGCCTCGTGAAGGCATCAGGAACATCAGCTGTTGCAGATGACTTACCCACAGAAGCCATGGCTGCAGCTAAGGAAGATCCTAAGGACAGAGCTCAGAACTCCTATGCTGTGCTGCAGCCAGAGCGGCTGCGTGAGGCACAGCATTTCCGTTGCGTCTAGGGCAGAAACACACAGGATTATAACTCCAAACCTGGACCCGTGGCTTTTGCCCCATATGCCTCGCGTAATAACCAACAACGCACACCTTTCCAGCATCGGGTTTTTAAGAAAGGGCACCGGTGGGCAGGCTGTTTCATGGCCCATCATGGGCATCAGTTCGAATTTGTCTTCACCTTCTAGAGCACAAATGGCTACTGCGTTAATTCCTCAAGTTGGGGCCTAAGACGAGCTTTTTTGCTGGAGCAGAGATAGCACTCGCGCTTCGGGCTGTTTGCCCGATTCTGCTGGAGCAAGATTCGCGTGCGCAATATCGACCCCTTGGAAACGCAATTTCCATTCCACACGCTGCGGTTGGCTTGCTCTTTGCTGCCGCCACCTTGCGCACGCATCAGCTGCTGCGTTGCTGCCACGCCTGCAAGGCCATCCCACAAATGATCAGTTTGACCTGTCAAGGGTGCATTTGACACTGCAAGGCCCACAGGACGCAATCACACGTCACGTGGCTGATTCTGTGACCATTCAGCGCACACTTGGCCTCTTAAGCCTTGAGGCAGTCTGGGGGCCTTTAATCCAGGCCATGACGATACAGGCGCCAGGAAAATGCCGCGTGAGTTCCACTCGATTTCGAGACACGAAGTGAGTTCATTCCGCGCAAGAGCTTGATATGAAGAAAAAATGTGAGGACCCTCCAGGCGAGAGCTCAGCGTCGAGGCCAAAATGTGCAAACACTCCACGCCACAGCCCCCCTGAACGAAGAAATTAGAAAAAATGTGTTTAAGAAGGGACCCTCCGAATCAACATCCCGCTTCTCAACGTTGGAACGGAATCCTCCAAGAACCGTCCGAAATTCGAGTCCGATATCTCTGGCGAATTCAAAGGCTTCATCACGAGATCCTTCTAGGATGCGATGCACTAAGCTGCCCAGCCCGGAGACAAGGAAGCACCTACCATACAGGATGCAGTCCTTTCACCTGCTCCGCTACCAGCATCAGTAAGAATAAGTTACCTACAAAAGACTGTCAAGCTTTTCACGGCCTGACTCAAGGCGCATGCGGGTACGGCGCAGACTGATGCACAAACAGACCTAGGCTGACCACAATAGATACAGGGACACTGTCACAACTACTCTTACGATTCATATTACTACTGCTGCAAATCACAACTTCTACCACCCTTTCTTGTACGTCGTCTCCTCCTGTGGCGCCTACTGCTGAGAAGGCGGGGCCGGCCCATGTTGTTAGCTGTGGAGCTCCATCTGAGCAATGTTGGCAACATGCACTAACTCTCGGATCTCTGTCAGCTAAGGCCTACAATCTACAATGTGCAAAGAGGAGTCTACGCTACACTAAGCTAGCGTCCAGTGGCAACTAGGAACTGCACTTACGCTCTTAAGGGAGGGAGTCTTGGATTGTTGTTCAGGGATTGACCCGTGGAGTGGTCGCATAATGTTCTCTGGAGCTTTGGAGACTTGTGCTGGCAATGCATCTGGCATGAGGCTATTGAATATTTGCACTACGAAGAAGCCCGAACACGAATCGGTCCTCGAGTTGTAGTAGTAGCTGTGACCCTCAGGTGTCTTTGCAGCCTGAGGGTTGCAAAAAAAGCACATCCCACAGAAACCGAAAGCCGACATCAGACTTGGCAAGAAGCTTTCCATTTCTCGAGACCATGACTATCACCCTTTTCTGCCTCAAAGGGATGCAAGGTCTCACTCCGACTTGCACTGACATGCACCAGCTCAGCGAACTGAGAAAGAAATAATCAGGGCCAGGGCGGGAGCATGCACGTAGCCTCCACGTGCTGCCCGCGGGACTTGTATGCTTTGCATCCGATCTGCCACCTACTCAGACTGGATGCTGTGTAGCAAACTTCCAATTGTGCAGGGGCACGCTCTTCATGTCATCGGACACTTCACCTCCAGCCACCATCCTGCATGGGTAGGTGCTTAAGAAACGCTTGCCCAAAATGACAGGATCCTCGTTGCATTTCACAGGCACCGCAGCGTAGAAAATTGCAATTTTCAGCACTTGAAGGCATGATGGCCGGGAAACATGGGTTCAGCTCTTGACACAATGAACTGCTTTCAGTGAGGGCTGGCACCTGGCAGGTTGGCAGACGTGTGTAAAGAAAGATACTGCAGAAAGGAACATGTGTGCAGCAACCACATTATTCCAAAGGATTGGCGGAGGGGCTGGGGACTTACGAATGCAAGTTGACTGAGATGTGGAGAATGTACGTAAGACGTTCATGTTTTCTTATATAACAACAGCGAGGGATTCGAGGTTCCAACTAGATTTGAGATTTAAATGTGTGAGGGCTTCAGGCCTGATGATTTGCTCTTTGAAGTTTGGGGTTTTTTGAGGGCTTTGGAAATGTTGAGAGCTCAGAGCTTGTTGGATCGGGGCCTAAATCTTTCAGATTTGAGGCTCAAGGTGCGAAGGCTTAGGGTGTAGGGTTGCAGGTGTTGGGCCTCAGGGAGCTCTTGCGGTCTCCTCCTACAGCTTGAAGACTCTTGGTTTCTGTGTTCCAGACAGTTGGGGGCTTTGCGGTGCCATAGTCAAGGAAATTCCGGGTGACAAGTTGCAAGCGGGTGCTAATGCTTTAAGATTTCAAGCGGCGAGTTTCTTCTTTGGAGTCTCAGGGGTTTGAGGGCTAGAATTGTATCGTCTTGAGCTGGGCATGAGCAATCATGAAGGAGGGGCCAGAAGCCTTCTGACTGCAGGTTCTGAACTGGGGGTACTTTCGGATTTGCGTTCACATCTGGTTCGCGCTATTCTCTCGCGCAAGCTGATTGTTGATTCGCAGTTGTTTCTGGTCGGTTGAAACTTCTGATTCGCCATGGCTTCTCACTGGCAGTTTCTGATGCGCAGTTTCTGAAGGCTGGCTGCTAATTCGCAGTTTCTGATGTGGAGTTGATTTTTGACCCATACTGACCTGATTTTGGGCTTCTCATTTGAGACCTGGTTTCAGACGTTGTCAGTGTCTAAAGTCCATGGTGTTTGGGCGTAGTGTGCTGGGGTCTGTGGCTTGTGCTTTTCAAGGAGTTGGGGTCAAGTTGCGTGTGCTCTCGATTTCCACGCCTTTGAGTTCCAGTCAAACCCAAGCTCTTGTCCCGCATCTAGTTGATCAAGGTTGCGTTTGCGTGTCTTTGGGCCTTTACAGAGCTGAGCATTGACAGTTCGTTGCTATTCTATCTTCTCATGCTTGACAAACTGCTTCCCATCCGCATGGTGCTCCTTCGTGCTTCCGCATCGATGTGTGCCAGGACCTCACGGGAGGCAGCACAAGCTGCACAAGCAGCAGTTTTTCAGATCATGCGTTGCCAGCATGTATGCCTTGGAGCTCTGTAGTCCAAGCGAGGCTTGCAGCTGCTTGGGCAGCTCACGGAGACGTTCCTAGCAACTTCTGCAGGATTGAAAAGAGCGTTTAACCGTCAAGTGAGCCTGAAGGAGCTTATTCTTTTCGAAGACCGCGCACCAACTGCTTGCCATCAGCAAATTAATGACCTCAGTGTCACTGCCACAGTATTGTGTTTCTCGGTGATCTCGCTTGGCTCTACGAAACCACCGACCAACCACCTCCGCGACACCGTTGATGGATGCTGGCTTTTGCTTCACAAAGCTCAGGAGAAAATTGAAAACCTGAGCGCTGGTTGCACAAGAAAAGGCATGACAAAGCCCAGCAAAGCCCTCAAAGCCGGCAAACTTTGGGTGCGTTGTCCACCTCTTGCAAGAAAGGCTGATCATCGCCAGCGCATCGTATGCAGCCTGGCTTAGGGCCGACGAGGAGGCGATGCTTTCTTGGGACTTGTTTCCTGGTCCGAATCTGCCTACTTCAGATACCTCTGCTTTCCTTCAAGAAAGGTTCATGCTGCCAGGAATCCAATGCGCAGCTGGTTCAGCGCCCTCAAGCCGCAAGAGTCCATTTGCGAAGGCTCGTCGATAGCACTCACCGCATCAATGCCTTCCTGACAGGGAATCGAACAATCTCAAATCATCTCAAGTCTAAGCTCGACCGAGTCTGGTTTGCCTGCAGTGCAGACAAGGCCGGATCTGCAACAGGTTCCTCCTCCTCTTCCTGGGACTCAACATTTCAGATCAAAGAATGAACAGATCGAGCTGGACCACAGCTGACGCTTTGCATCAGTAGCATGGCAGGTAAGTCTGCAGCCGCCACCACCCAATCATCCGATTCTAGATCTTCCTGCATCACACCACAACATGATACGGCAAGCACTGACATTGACCCTAGGCAGTCCTTGATCACGTCAATCATGCGCTCTTTTTCAATAGCCAACCGCACCTGCCGCTGGCATACGCTGCGCAAGGAAAGCTGCACAGAACGAAAATGATCTGCTGCAGCACTTGCCTCCTGCGGCCGCTCATCCACACGTACGAGGGTCACTGACTGCAAGGCTGCAGGAGCAATGGATTTCTTCAAAACCTCGCAGGGTCAAATATGCAGCACGGGTTCCACACCTAGTGACGCAAAACAAATTATGTTCAGGCTCAGAAGCCTCATGCTGGGCCCCGATGGCAGACTGCAGATCCTGCTGCATCTGGGCCGACTAAAAACGCAAAAACACCAACCATCCATCAAAACCAAGTTAGCTCAGCCTCATGGAGAGTCTGTACCTTCTTGTGCAGCTCGACATCAGCCTCCCATGCAGCCACCCAGCTGGGCACTTGCATCAGCTTGTTGAAAACCTGGACAGGTCAACCCACGTAGAACACCTCTTTCCGAGCAGGGACAGAGGGGCACCTGAATGATCAACGATCGGAAGAACGGCTTTTTGGCAGCAAACGCAATCAAGAAGTTCCACATTACTGGAGCGTGCGCAGCCTCCGCCCATGGTAACGTTGTGATCATGGGCAATAAGTTTGGTCTCCTTCCCGCCTGCTCATCGATTTCCTGGACAGACGCCTTTAAAACCTGACGCACCAGCAACTTGCAACCAAGGCTAAGCACCATCTCACCGGTTCAAGCACAGTCCTGTTTTTTGAAATCTTGGAAATCGCCATTGGCAGACATCAGCCGGTCTTTTGCCAAACATTCCTGGCAAAAAATGATATGTGTCATTAGAAAGTTAATGAACCATGCACGGCCCAGCCTCGTACACTTCCCATTTTGGCCACACTACCATGTGACCGCTTTGCCAACTACAACACCGTACACAAACGAAACTGTTTTCTTTCCTTCTGTGCCCTTACCACAAAGCATGCTCGTCCAAAATATTTAGCGGATTCCTGAATTCAGCTACGGGCTTCCAAAATGACAAGAACTTTACTTCGCAGTGTCTCCTGCCATCCGGACCCAAAAGACTGTGCGGCCGCTTGATATGTAATGATACCCGCATTAGTGCAGCAATGACCGTCCTGTAGAGGCGGACACCTGAATTTTCGGATACATGTGCAGCTGAAGCTCCATGATCGACGTCGTTCAGACGCTGCAGTTTGAGCAAAGTGCGCAGCTTGCGACAAAATCTTGGAAATATCCGCCATGAGCAATAGAACTGCAACCACGCACAGAAACCGAAGATGCGAGTAGGACGTGAGCGTATCGAGATGTTTCCGTGTGTCGCCCGTTCAAGACATCTCTAGTCCAAATTCTGCCGGCTGCACTTGGAACTGCCTGGAAACCCTTCAAGACGGGCACTTAGTTTGAGCAAAGCGTTCATGCTCATATTTCAACAAGCAACTGCTTGTGGCACTAGAAATGCAGTTCATGTGCTGTTCTGTTTTTGACTTGCCAATCATGCTATGTTGGTGCCTCGGAGGTGAAGGCTCAAGAACAAAACCAAAACCCCAACACCAAAACGGTGAGCATAAACCAGAAATGAAACATAAAAAATATGGGTTTGGGAAGGCATCTAACACGAATTGCACAAATTTGTATCGAAGCAGGCCTGAAGAAGACGAAAAGGGCAGGGATGAGAATATGTGTAAAAACACAACGCACAAACTGCCAGCGAAAAAGTTGCGTTTGGTAGGGTCTTCTAGAAGTGTCGGAGCATTTGCCGAATTGTTCGGAAACAAGGCACGTGCTTGTTTTAGAAAATATCAAAGACCTGCACACTTCAAAGTTTAAGGCACCCATGAGCACGAACTTGACCAAAACAGAATCATGTTGTTTGATATTTTCCCGAAAGCATCGCGAAGGGCTCCTCGTCAAAAAACGGTAACCTTGCACACACCACAGCACTTACACAGCTCACACACACCACGCCACAGTCTACACAACACTTCCACCGCTCACATACACCACGCCACAGCACTTACATCGCTCGCCTACAGCACACCACAGCATGTACACTGCTAACATACACCACGCCACTTCTCCCTTCGTTTTTCTCTTATTTCTAACGCCGGGGTAGGGTCGTCGGGAATCGTCGGGGCGAACCTTCTGCGGGTTTCGCGCGCGTCGGAGCGCTCCCGCAGTGGCGCTGTGCGAATTTTTAACGTCGCCGGCGAACCCTCTGCTGGGATCGTGTGCGACTCGGCGCCTCAACGTCGTCCGAACTTCGTCCGGACGTTTTCTCGTAGAGCGTCCTCAAAACTCTTTCTTTTTTTCGCGAACGCACTATCACACTGCTAGCAGCCATCTCAGCATTGTGTTGTCTTAACACATGCATGGCAGGTGACACAAGCCGCACTCAAGCACCTGTCATCAAGGATTTGTAAGACAAACTCATCTTACACGTGCCATTCCGAGCCCTAGACAGACGATATTCACCTGCACAGAGACAGACTGAAATGAAGAAGTAAATGTTTCCTGCGCTTCTCATGCTCATTTTCGATGCCGTGGATCTCAGAAAATTCCATTGACGTGTCCCCACGCGGGCACTCCGGGTATGATCAGTTCTATCCCAAATAATTATGCTTGCATACAATGTATATATAAGTCTTCATTCAAATTTATCACTCAGAATGAAAACATATAAATACTGCAAGAAAAGAAAGCACGCTTTCCTGTTCCATTGGATTTGCAGCCAATCCAGGATGTCTGACTTTTGTGTGGGGCGACTCGTATGGTCCGACCCCCCACACACATGAGTACTACAGGCTGGAGAGGCTTGTAAGTTGGCTTGACTCACCCAAGCGTAGGTGCTTGAAAGCAAAGTTGCGTGGCAACGCAGCGCCACATGTGTGGACAGAGACAGCACACCCCTCGATATGAGGATTGTGAGCACGCACAGACGGGCTCCGAGCCCAGAAGATGCAATCTCGTGTTGCAGCCAGGAGGCCCGAGGCTCAATGTATGTTCTCAGGTTCTCTTTTAAGGGAAAAACAGCTGAGCTGCAGAAAGATGAACCCAAGACTCGCAGCCCTACAACTCCAACGCCATCAGTCTCGAATGCAGCCACCAGTCCTGCCACGACGCAGTACAGCACAGGATTGTCGCAAGATCTCGCTAACCGCTAACGCTAACTTGCATCTGAGCCCAGCAGGATCAGCCAAAGGTAGTGAGCGCACAGTGACAAGCCCTCCAGCGAAGAAGAAGCTGGAGCAGGATTGGCAATTCAACACACCAGAGCAGGGCACGATAAAGAGGAAACACAATCCCCTGAATCCGGTTCACATTCCGCTGAAGTCCAAGGAAGATTCAGATGCTGTCCAGCTGACGCAGAAGACGAATCAAGAGGATGACAAGACGCCGCAGCACAATGTCACCCGTTGGCACAAGAACCTGGAACAGGATGACAGCCCCGACAAGTGTACTCCGCCATCACCTCCACGAAAGCTTCGCCGCCGCAACAGTGACGGAGAAGGTGTATCCACACAGGACAGAGAGCAAGATTGACTATGCTGAGTGTCTGACTGCGGTGCCCCAGCAAAAACACGTGGGTGATCCTGTATGCACTTTCTTAGCACGTGGACTTCTAAACACATGGAGGCATTGCCATTGCCTCTTACCACAAGGGGGTAGGACATGATGCTACATGTTCGCTCTGCAGGCAAAAACGGGACACGTGGCTGGGCTGGGCTGACGGCCACGCCGACGCAGGCCAAGCTGCCGACGCTGTGATAGTCTGGCTTCCTAGCTGCTAGTCAAGATTGTAGCAGGAGGGAGCAGTTGGTGAAGCTCCTGCTGCTGCGGAGGCCGTGAACCCTCAACCCTAAGTCCCTCAACCCTAAACCCCGAACGTCCCAAGCTCCCAAACCCTAAGCGAGAATGCCTTACTTGGAGGGTCAGGAGGGTTTGCGGTAAGCAGGCTAATAATGGGGATGATTAGGGATACTATGTGGGTTATAGGGGTTGTTTATATTTACTAAGTCTTACTAAGTCTGCCTGACCCTCGAAGTAACCCTATAAGCTACCTTCTTGAAATCTGGCTTGCCTGGCAGGCCCCGAAGAAGGTGCCGCCACCATTGCCGAAGACAAAGGAGGCGCCTGCTTGGGTTCGCCCGATTCTTGCTTGTTTGGATAAGGCTCCCTGAATCCTCGACTCCAAGCCCACTACATTTTGGCAGGCCCTGACGCTGCCTGGGACAGGGGAGGTCGCATGCTCAGACTCAAGCTGACAATTCAGATCTCTGGCACTTAAGCCCTAAACATGCTGAACCCTCGAATCTA